TCACATAAACTGGTTAGAGAAAATAGGATAAATCAAAATCTTCCGTCACAAATTTACATTGAGAACAAAGCGCTACAATATTTATATGTGATTCCCAAAATGCTTGTCTCCATGCGGCTCAACAATAAAACAGACGGTTTATATAGCTAAAATTTAGGGTTCGATCCTCACATGGAACACAGTAAAGCTAGTCCATTGTGCATCTTTGTGCTAAACGACAAACAGTTTTTCATGATGCTTATAACACTGGACCTCTTCTGTTTATTTTCTATTAAATGTCATGTCAAATGAATTTTGGTTTAAGATTCTATAAATGGTAAATAAGAAATAGTTTGTTAATTGGGCTGTCATGATTATAAAACAATGAGTGTCTATAAATGGTGTTAGATGCTGAGAAGGATAATGCCATCTTCACTGTTTACAAAGACCTACATAATATGCCAGTTTTCGCATGTCTTTACCTACGGACAGCCCATACCACAAGTACAAGGCTAATAATCAGATCCATTGAACGACAACAAGGCTAATAGTCGGATCCATACTCATACCAAAAGTACAAGGCTAATAGTCAGATCCATGCCATGCTACAAGTACAAGGCTAATAGTCAAATCCATGGAAAGACTACAAGGCTAATAGTCAGATCCATACCCATAACACAAGTACAAGGGTAATACTCAGATCCATACCCATAACACAAGTACAAGGGTAATACTCAGATCCATACCCATAACACAAGTACAAGGCTAATAGTCAGATCTATACCCATAACACAAGTACAAGGCTAATACTCAGATCTATACCCATATCACAAATACAAGGCTAATAGTCAAATATATACCCATACCACAAGTACAAGGCTAATACTCAGATCCATGGAACGACACAAAGAACTGAACAAGTCCTGCGACTGATGATCAACCCCTCCAAAAAAATCACGTTTTTCAAAAGAGTTATAAGCTCTGCTATGAAGATTGATGCTGCTCTAAACTCCTCCTTTCTAACGCCTCTAGTCTAATATATTAGCATGATATTTCTCGCACAAATCTATCAAAATTGTGTTTTAACTGTCTTTTGATGAACCCCGACAGCTATCTTTCTTTTTACAGTCTTTTTCGTTAAGCTAATGACAACACTAACACTTCCCGGACCGTTTGATATAGCATTTTGATAGATTATGATTTGCATTAGCGTGAAAGGTTTACTTCAAAAGAAATCCTTTTTGTTATAATTTGTAAAGAAGTTATAGTCTATAATTTACCGACCAATCATTTCCTAATATGAGTTCGAGCCTGATTTGTATTCAACTTTTGTCGTATTCTTCGTTTATTGTCATTTTCAAGTTTTGAATTATCTGTTTTATGAAACAAGGTTAAAAAAAATTTTCTTCGAATAGTTAAGACATTGTGTCTGTTTGTCACAGTTTCAAATTAAATTATTCATCTATATATATATATATAAAGTACAAAAAATCTGTGTGTCTATCTAATTGTCCCTAGATCGCTGGGCCAATCTCAACCAAACTTTGTGGAATGATAGTATAGAACAAGTGGCATGTTCACAACCCCCTCCACCCTCATTATTCTTGTTATTGAGCATTTACTTCCTTTGACGTAAGTTAACGTTAACTACATTCATAGATGGCGTCACGTCCTTACACCAAGAAGAAAAACTATTAAATTTTCTATAAAACAACATACACAGTGTGTAGGGGATGACATAGAAACGTCTTATATACATCTCAGAGAGTGAGCTAGTACTCTTTATGGAGGAATGCAATGAGAAAAAGTGGCCGCCACTATTGCAATAATACATAAACTCAGCTGAAGTTTCTACTTTCACAGCCACCATAAATCTGACATGAAGAGCCGTTTCTGAGTTATACCCACTTCCTACCTTGACCCGTAACCTTTTAACTTCGACTGTAACACACTTTTGCGGTCAGTTGCCGTCAATTAATTAACCACGTGAAACACTGTGGAAGAACATTAAGAGCTGGATCTTGAAAGTGGATAACAGAAAGCACCCCTACTGCTACTATCTTTCCGCTACCTCTTCCTACAAAATCACCCTGATCTTCTCACAGTGTATACCATGTTTTAAGAATATACATAGTGAGTTCTTAAAGCTAAAACAAAACTTTTGGTGAGATAATAATGAATACTGTAATAATATGTTATGTTATAAATAAATTGTGTGAAAGTTAGGATTTTGTGTTATTTATCACAGCATTCAACCGTCACATTTTTCAAGTTCCAAAACCCAAACAAAGGACGGCTTGTATTTGACATAAACCTTCTCTTAAGCTTCTGATACATGTTACTTGTATTGGATATCAATGCACTATTTAACCCTGTAAACACAATCATTTCTTCAATTTTATAAGGCTGTCATTATACAACTCCTATTGTAATAGGTTTTGAGTTAATGAGTATCAACGTCCTAAGTGTTAGAGAACTATAGTAGGGTCTTTTTGTTATGCATGTAAGTACGTCATGTAATAAATTAAAGTAAACCTAGGGTAACTAACTCCTAATTTGGAAAGCTTAGGTTATTTTTCGGGCCTGCTCTGGTGATCAGTGGAGTCATTTTCATTGTTTGAATTCCAGATTTGATATTTTCCTATTTACAGAGATTTCCCGCTGACTACGTTACATGTTATTTCATCAGAAACTGTGCCACATCTCGTCTTTGAAAGTAGAACAGGCATATTAGATTCACAGACTAAACAAAGTTGTATCTACTTTTTCCAAACAAAGAATAAATGTAACGATCAAAACAAAATATTTTAATACTTTTAAAACAAAAAAATAATAGTTATTTGGAATATTTGGTGTTGGACGTCAGTACAAAAGCTACAGCATTACAACAGCAAAAACTACATGTCCCACTTCAGAAACATCAAACTATTGTCTATTCTGACGTTCGCACATCTTATCTTTTTAAAATTCATTTAAACCAAACATGTGCTTTAGAGGGCAATTATATAACTAAAGGCTTTACATTGAAATTATTATTATATTTCATTTTATACTCCTTTTGAACAGGAGATTGAATGATGGTTTCTGTTTTATAGACACACAAGCTGAGGTACCCGTCCTTCGTCCGGGTTATGAACGTATATAGATGTTTGGATGGATGGATGCTTTGATAAATAACACAAAAAATCCTAACTTTCACACAAGTTATGTATAACATAGCATATTATTACAGTATTAATTATTACCTCACCAAAAGTTTTGTATAAGCTTAAAAACTTAATATGTATATACTTAAAACATGGTATACACTGTGCGATGGTCAGGATAATTTTGCAGGAAGAGGTATCGGAAAGTAAAGCGGCGGTAGGGGTACTTTCTCTTAATACCAAACTCTTAATGTCTTTCCACTGTGTTTCACGTGATTAAATAATTGATGGTGTTAGCCACAGAAGTGTCTCACGGGCCGAAGTTGAAAGGTCACGGGTCAAAGTAGGAAGTGGGTATAACTCAGATACGGCTCTTCATATCAGCCTTATTAACTGAGTTTATGTTGTATTGCAAAAGTGGTGGTCATTTTTTTCATTGCATTCCTTCATAAGACGTTTGTGTGCCCTCCCCCTCGTACTTTGTGTGTGTTGTGTTGTAGAAAATGTAATTTTTGTGTGTAAGGACGTGGCGCCATCTATGTATGTAGTTTGTTTGTTTGTTTGTTCTGAATGTCGAGAAAAGCTACACGAGGACTATCTGCGCTAGCCGTCCCTAATTTAGCAGTTTAAGACTAAAGGGAAGGTAGCTAGTCATCACCATCCACCGCCAACTCTTGGGCTACTATTTTACCAACGAATAGTGGGATTGACCGTCAAATTATAACGCCCCCACGGCTGAAAGGGCGAGCATGTTTGGTGGGACGGGGATTCGAACCCGCAACCCTCAGATTTCGAATCGAGCGCCCTAACCACCTGGTCATGCCGGGCCATGTATGTAGTTAACGTTAACTTACGTGAAAAACAATAAATGGTCAATAACAGCAACAATTGGGGGAGAGGTTTATTAACCCCTATTAACATGCCCCTTGTTCCAAACTACCAACCCACAAAGTTTGGTTGAGATTGGCCCAGCGTTGTAGGAGTAGTTAGATAAGGGACAGACAGACACATTATTATCTTTGTATATATAGATATAATCTTTGTTTTAGTCTTGAGAAGTCTTAATTTAAGAAATGTTCTAAGAACTACATAAGAAGTAAATTCAGTAATCTTATAATACAATTTAAAAAATCATAGGGTTACATTTTAATTTACAAATTTCGAAATTAATGCGTGAATAATTACTTTCCTTAAAATTTTTTCAGGGTCTGATAAAGTGAACCTTGAGAAATATATTAGGGAGTTATCTCAAAAAATTTCTTGTTGATCCAAGAAGTAATAATTGAGATAAAAGTAGTAATGCATATGTTTCTGTGTGCATTTAAAAGTAAATCTGGTATTCGGAAAGTTGTTTATCCATAAATGTGGCATTTAAAGGCGTAACTAAGAAGATATGTTAAAAACCGAAACAGGTTTACTTTAAGCAAGGAGAACATCAATATTTTTGTATCTGTAGTATTATTGAGGTGCATTCAATTGACAAAGAAACGCCTGATATATTATGTTGTAGAAGATACACGTAATGTTTATTATGTCACATTTCCATCTACATGGTTTTGTTAAGATGTTAGAAATATGTCAGTTACAATAACAAAAGTAAACTACATGTAGGTGGTGTTTTTTCGTGTTAAAGTGTCAGTTAAAGTAAGTAACGCCGACGACTTAATTAAGTTTCTATCAAAAACAGAGAATAGATATTTGTTAGTTTACTTCGAAGTTTTGTTGTTAAAAATGTCAATCTCGTATGAATGAATTTCAATACAATAATTTAACATTTAATGAGAATGTCCAAAGATGTCTAGATGTTTAATTTCGTTTTGTCAATAACATTAACGAGTAAGTCGAATCATGATTCATTGCTTGTGGTCTTTCTAGAAAACTAAAGAAACAAGAAGACGAAAAGGGTTTTATAAAACATGATGAACTACAAGAGGAATATTACGGTGGAGAAGAACCGCCGAAGAAGAAGAAATCGTGGAAGCAGTACCTGGAACCCAACTGCCCCTGTTGTCCCAACATGTCCAAGAGATACTTGATAGCCATACTTAGTTTTTTTGGGTTTCTCGTTAGTTTTGGTATCCGTTGTAACCTTGGAGTTGCTATTGTTCAGATGGTCAGCAACGTGACAGCAGAAGTAAGTGATATACGGTAGCTTATAAGCAATTCTTCTTAAAACTGTGAGCAATGTGACAGAACTGAGTAATCATGGTAACCTAAGGGTAACTACCGTTGTAAACTGTAAGCAGTATGGTAGAAAAAGTAAATAATACGAATAACCTAGGGGTCGCCTGTTGTTTAGTCAGTTTTGCAAATTTAAAGCAGAAACAGTAAGTAATTATTGCTACCTAGGCTGGTTAATCTTAATACTGCAAGCAACATGACAAAAGAAATGAATACTCATGATAACCTAGTGGTAGTTATTGGTGATCACTTAACAACGTGTTATTTTGGTTTTATTATTACCAATATCATTACACTAATTCTAAGTTTTTAGCGTGTTTTATGTTATTGTTACGACAGCGGACGTCACGTGACCCTGGTACCACGTGATAAGTTTCTAGAAGGATCGGGAACATCACGAATAATCCAGTATTTGCTAGACGCCCTCTATTCCTGTATATAAGCGCGTTAGATAAAGCGAAACAATTAATCGGAATTAGAATTGCAGACAGGCAGAGACAGAGACGGACATTTGAGTCAGGCGCGGTAGTGAAGTGCATGAATAGTGGTGAATTATAGCGTGTGTTTAAGTTAAAGTGACTGTGGAAATTAAGTGTATTGCAAAGCTGAATTGAGAAAGAATAAACTAGTTTTATTTAAGAAGGGACTTGTATCGTTGAAGTTTCTCGGAAATAATTTCTACAGAAAATTAACAAACGATCAGAGACGTAACATTATTAATAGTAAGATACCAGAAATTAAATAAAATACAGCTATAAATATAAGTGTACCTTAGATGACTACTTTGTAAACCAGAATCTGTACTTTTTCTTTCTTTGTGATTTAACTATTTCCATCATCTGTAATACACACATCTGTAATGAATTATGGACCGGGGCTTCATAATAAAAGTTATTTTATTCACATTTCTCAAAAGAAATAATAATAATAATATGTTATTATTTTAAAGTTTTTAATACAAAAACGGTCCCTTTACGCAAGAAAAGCTTTGTATGCGGGTCTTAACAAATTATTCAACCTAGGAGGGGGTGGGAGACAATGGTTACTTTATATAATTCGCGATCGATCGGTGAGCGATTCATTTCCTTAAAATATAACGTTATAAAAATCGGTTAGTTAGCGTTATCATTCACTGTTCATACCGATGTGTTCATAAATGTAATAAGCTAGTCACGTTCTAACTTCATAACCTGCTGAAGACAGAGAACATAATGGGATGAAATCAAAATTTTCGAGACCGTCATATTAATATGATTTATAAAGCCTTATAGACGCTTAGTAACAAGAAAATAACATGTTGGTGGAATTAGTCGTACGATGATGAGAATGTATTTATATACAGTTGACAGTCACTGCAACTTTGTTTTGAAATCTAAGAAAAAATGTGTACTGTTGCCATTTCAATCTTATTCGAACTTTGATGAATCTTTACAGAAAATAACGATAACAGAAAGTATTTCATATACATTTTATTTTTCATGTAGTGGGATCGGGCAGAGTATATTTGAAACTTTTCAAAATGTCAATGTTTTTATGAATCCAAATAGTAAGTGGAAAAACAGGAATAACGAAGAACAATTCAACGGATCCAGTTTATTCCTCTTAAAAATAAGAAAAAGAAAATCCACACACCTGATCGTGACTGAACTAATTCCACGTGGATGTTGAGCATTGCGATTTTAGAGATGAAATCAGCTTGATGTAAAATCAAGTGTAACTAAAATCTCTAATTACATTTAAGCACTATACAAGTCACTTTGCTAAATTCAGTGACATTTGAAAAAGTGTTTCAATCGATTAAGACGTGAATTAAATTTTGTGATGACGAATTTTTATTTTTTGTGCAGGTCAAGAAAACGCTTTACTGAAACTTCCAATCCTACATGTTTAAAATGTAATTTAACCACATTTTGCAGTATCACAGATACTTAAAGTAGCATATTTCTACATCAATAGAGATTGGACAATATAAACATGTGGCAAATATGTATGAGTTATTGTTGATGGGGTCATTTAACTCGATGATACTTTCAGTAAATTAAATCCAAAGGCAAATAAATAATTGTCCTTGAGAAAATTGCTTGAATTTGGAGGCAGTAATTTAAAAACATCATCCATCGTATATACTTTACATAATTATTACATTCGTGTGTAAATACCAGTGAGTTGCTTTAAAAAAGTGGGTTATTTTGGTATTTTGAAAATATTTAATTTGATAATAAATGTTTCAGTTTTTCAGTGAAGGCTAATTTAGTTCTAAATTTCTGTAAGATTGAGAATGGGTCATTTGGCACTAAATGTTATAGTATGTTGTTATGAAAAGGATTAATCTGATAGCAGATTATTATATGGTTGTGAAGGAGCTTAATTATATATTAAACGCTTGTACGGTTGTTGTGGTCGTGTAGCTTTGCTCGAAATTCAAAAAACAAACAAACAAACAATGCTAAATTAGGGACGGCTAGCGCAGATAGCCCCTAGTCATATGTTGCGTTCGGATAACGAGTTTAACGCGAACTGTTTATTTCCGATACATAAAATATTATTCCGGGTCGTTATTGGAACGTGAAATGAGTAAGTAAACAGAAATAGTTTCACTTTAGTTGTGTAAGATAATTAAAACTTTGTCGCGTTCGGTCTACAGTACGCTTGAACTAGCGAGAAGATCCAGAACTGGCCTTTAGCCTAATGATCATGGCGTCAGTGACAAAATTCATGGGAGGTTTTTATATATCACTATTACTACCGATCTGTTATAAAATGTAAAACATTGTAACATATGTGCCGCAACAATATTTGTAAGAAACTAATGTCTAAGTATTTAGTTTTCATTAGTATAAAACTATTAACAATTTAAGTCTCAAACTAGGCCCGGCATGGCCAGGTGGTTAATGTACTCGACTCGCAATCTGAGGGTCGCAGGTTCGAATCCCTCTTACATCAAACATGCTCGCCCTTTCAGCCGTGGGGCGTTATAATGTGACGGTCAATCCCACTATTCATTGGTAAAAGAGTAGCCCAAGAGTTGGCGGTGGGTGGTGATGACTAGCTGCCTTCCCTCTAGTGTTACACTGCTAAATTAGGGACGGCTATCGCAGATAGTCCGAAAAGTAGTGAACTGGTCTAATGTTAACCGGGAAAAGTAGTGAACTGGTCTAATGTTAACCGTGAAAAGTAGTGAACTAGCTTCATATTCTCAGTTTCAAATAGTCATATGTTCAGATGGGCCAACAGTAACCTAGTTTAATGTAAAGCATTCTAGCTCTGGACTAATCGTTTGGTGAGATTGGCCAATAATGATCTAATTTATTGTGAAGTATTCTAACTCTGAAGTGGTCATATGGAGTCATAGTCTAAATCTGGACTAGTCATATGGAGAGACAGTCTAATCAGTTTAATGTGAACTGTTCTAAATCTGGACCGGTTAACACTAGACCAGTTCACTACTTTTCACGGTTAACGTTAAGCCAGTTCACTACTTTTCACGGTTAACAATAGGCCAGTTCATTATTGTCGTCTTTTTTTTACAAATATGGCTGGATTGTCAGCGAGAGGTATAGAGTGAAGCTTTGAACAGCCATTTTACATTCAAACTAAAGATTTTTTTGTGGGTTGGAGCAGGAGTAATTTTTAAGTGACCTTATAAGAAGAAGCAGAAAATTCAGGGCTTTTTGATGGTCATTCCACAGGATAACCGGAGTAGTTTTCTCAAGACCTAGAACCTGACCAACTCATAAAATGTCCACTTGTGAAATATGTGAGATAAATAATTTTTGTCTAGTGGAACACACAATTAACACAGTTGGGGCCCTACCTAATGCATAATTGTAACTCATGAAAGTCCCACTTGTGAATAGGACCAGTGCAGCAAACGTTGAGGCCCCGTGTGAGTCAACAATCATACACATACCATCCCTCCTAACTACACACAATCTGATTGCATAATTTCGCAAATAAATTGGAAACACGGTTTTATTTTATTTGCTTGTTGTTGTTGTTTTTCATTTACGTGGCATTACTAGGTTTGGGCTGTGGAGGGGGGTCAACATATTATTGGTCCAATACGTTCGCCAATGTTCTTTTCTACCAACCCCCTTCCCTAAAGAAATAACCTCAAGAAGATACAAACAATCAGGGGGTATAACTTAGTGCTGATGGAATCATTTTCTGGCATATTGGGCCAATGGAATACTCTTTGTTTTATTCCAGTGGATACAGGAACCTGACATTCTAGCCAGAATAGTCAGGTGTTATTTACATATCGATATAGTTATTTCCCGCTGGCTGGCGTCACGTGTTGTAAATCTCTATTTGGTTGGTTCCACTGAATGCTGATGAACTGGAAAATTAGTTAAAGCAGCTTCATGCTTTGTTTAACAAAATTAACTCTGGTGTGTTTTATAATACCTAACTGAGGGTTGTTCGAAATTTTATCCATTTTTGAGTGTATTATTCGTTTTTTACAGCATTTTTTTCCCATTACAAGTTCTCCCCATTCTGCCAGGTAAAAGGGTTTTGTACATTTCAGATTTAAATCGCCAAAATAAAGCAAACAAACGAGCTTATAAAGCCTGTGTAATTAGTGTATTGTATTTTAATTTCAACATTGTAATTTATTACCAAATTCTTCCTCCAGACACTGAGAGGCGTGACTCGGTTTATGCTTTACATTTTGGAAGAATGCCAACTTATTGCCAACTTCAAACAAAGTTCTGTTTCTAGAGTGGCGACACCTTTCGTTTTCCTCCAGTGGTTGTCCACGTGGCACCCGTTTTGTGATTTCACAAGAATGTTTTATCGTAGGATATATTTTTAAAATTTTTCGTCTTACGTTTGAGCAAAGAATCCAGGTGTGTTTATTTATGAAATAAGTCACATGTCAAGACTATACCGGCTAGACAACTTCTGAAAATCGGTATTGTTCTTACTCGTACACTGGTATTATGTTTAGAG